GGAATAGGGACCTCTGTTCCATCCCTGTTCCACTGACGTGCTGAATAGTCGTAGTCTGCAATTGCAGGTAGGAACTTGGACTGCCGGTACTTGACAACATCTGCGCGTTCGTGGCCATCGACAAACTGTCCGCTCGGAGTCTTGGTCCATCGGTAGTCCAAGCGTTGCATCCAGACTTGAGCCTGCGAGAGCGAGATCGGCTTCGTAAGTCCGTACTTTTCTTGATTGGTAGGAAGCGCCATGAAGTCGACAATGTCGAGTGCTCGTACGTATTTGCTGATGCTTTGTAGGTGTTCGCTGATCGCCTCTTTCAGATCTAGACATTTGTCAAGAAGCGATTTTGTCCATGTGTTTCCGGGAGTCAGCGGGAGCTCGTGTCGATCCTTCAAGAATGCGCGTGTCCAGGCACGTAGGGATCGAGCGGTGTGTGGCCCCTTCTCCCATTGGGCTGCAGTTGTGAGTGAGAGTGCCCCCCACTGCCTTGGATCACCATTTCTGATGTAGTCTGTCAGAAACATTTGCATCTGCCACAGACAACACAGCAGGCGGTCATCACCGGCCACAAAATGATCTGCGCCCCGGCTGCGCTTTCGAGGTGGGCGGATGAGCTGCTTTAGATCCTTTAGAGCTGAGTGCACCTCCTCCATAGATGGCGGAGGTATGAAGTTCGATGCAGGTGGGACACCAGAATCCGAGGAACAGGCTGTGGAGCGCTGTTGAGGTGTGTGGGCCCGTTCTTCCGGCTCTTGTCGCAACGTCACTGCAAAACTCACATGTATGTATGCTGCTAGTATACATCTGATTGGTTCTAATGCTTACCTTGTACAGGGGAACCGAAAGTGAGTGCAGCCGGCCTTGATATCTCGGCAACAGCTTGACTGAATGACTGATATGTTTGCAGGACCTGTTCTCTCCGCCTGTCAAGGGTTTCGATCAGACTTCCTGGATGCCTGGGGCAATGGACCTATTTTTCATTCTGTTAGGAAGCTTGCGCACATCACCCAGTTGGGCAAACACACCTCTGGTGTCGCCAGCGGCACGTTCTCCTTGTTCTTTGCTACTCGGCTCCGTCTGGCCTGCAGTGATTGTTCCCTTGGTTTCTTCTGTGCATGCGCCCCTAGATTTGTGATTGAGTTACTCTGGTGTAGCTTTCGTTTGGGCATGTTGCGAGGCAAGGCCGTATGTTCCCTGCCAGCAGGAATGATATTTCGCCTTTCTTGGACAGTACCCAATTCAGACATGTCTTAAGCGCCCGAGAGATCGCGAACAATGCATGTCTATCTACTTTGTTCAGGAAGGCAAATCGGAAATTCGGAAACCTGAGAACTCTAGAGACACTACATAGGTACAGTTCTCTGGTTTCGGATATGTAAGGAAGGCCCTCACTCTTGAGCCTATAGTTTTGCAAACATTTCTCCCTGCCAAAGCAGGTCAAGCGTGACAGTTCTGAGCACGTGATGTAGTAGGTTGTGCGGGCGGCCAATCTTAGTACAAGACGATGACATATGTACACTAGGATCAGTATTTGTCTGAAATGACCTGATCCAATCGTCTAATGAAGACACTCCCATTATGTGCTCCAGACGACAGTGTCTTTCCGTCCGGGGAGAACGCTACGCACCGTAACCAGCTCTGATGCTCGGAGAATGTCGCCACACACGACCCACATCAGCAAAATGTCATGGTCTTGAATGTGGTCTTGGGGTACTTGGCCAAGTACTCCAAGACCACCAAGTACTCCAAGTACATCAAGACCAATGGACTTGGTCAAGACCGTTGGTCTTGGCCAAGCCGGGTGGGTGGTCTTGGCCAAGACCATTGGTCTTGACCAAGACCACCAAGACCATTCCAAGACCAGAATCAAGACCAGAGCCAAGTACATGCTAGAAGCTCATGCTATAAAAGACTATAGCTCAGTTTTTAGTTGGATCATATCAGACATAGTTAGTCTCTAGCATGGTGATGTACAGCAATACAATGATTAGCGGATATGCGAAGGGAAAAAAAAGACACCAGCTAGGATTGAACCAGCAACCTCTAGCACTACCACATTCAACCACCATTTAGACCACTGCACCATATTGACTTGTAGATAGATATGTGCACCATAAATATATGGTGCATTTTGAGGAACTTGGAAAGAATTAGTCACTACT